TCCACCTTTATTCTTTTCTTTACAATAAGGCTTTCAAATAAGTCATGGTTGTACGGCAGTGAAGCATCGGTGTTGAACACTGATGTCATGCTGTCGATGATGATGAACTACTTAAAATCTTTCTACCTGGAATCTATCCCCTCTAGTTTCAGAGCAGACCATCATAGTGGACCAATAATAACAACTACTCGTCTGTCTGTGTTACCCTTTCGGTGCAATTTTGCCGAGTAACTCAAAGGAATCCTGAGAACTAAGATACTGCCAGGTTCCTCAATCCTCAATGATCAACCGAAAAGCTCAATTTGGGCTCGGACGACAGACGTTCTGGTCAGTAACCCCGCACCCTAACCCCTGAGCTCTGTCGAGTTCGATCCCACTAGTATGTACTAAATAGAGCAGAGACAGTCCTATCAATTCTCCAAGAAATCGACAACTGTCATGTCGAAAATGTATTCTGCAGCATATTATATCTGAGGGAACTTGAGGGAACGTGAGCAAAGGGTGCTGATTAAGCAGTAAGTACAATCGAAACAAACCGGGAGCTGGACATGTCGTAGAAAGCATAAATTGCCTCGTCGGCTTACCTCATCTGTCAGTGATTAGAGCGCGAATAACTGCCCGGAAGGTCCGTGGTTCAAACCCGACCTCTGTCTCTCAACTTCCTAGCCATATCCCAACCCTCGTGCTGCCTTCTGGTGGCATGACAGGCAAGCACTGAAAGGATGCTACAGCTGAACGATTATACTTTCTAACGATCCAGTCATCGTAATAGGCAGTGCTGAATGCGATCCATAAGTGAAGTACAGTCTGTTTCACTAAAAACCTGTATTCCGTTAAATTCATTGATTCCGACCGGTTCCAGCTATAATTCTGTCGACAGTCAGTGATTCGAAGACACCTCAAATTCTCCCCATAGTGGTCAAATCCCGCAGCAGCACAAAAACAGCCTGTACCACAGTCTGGTACGAGCGTGCTTTGAGGTCCAATGGTATGCATTTTTGATCCCACAAGAGGCGCTAACTTGAAAATATAACTCTGGCATTCGAGACCTGTTCAGTGACTTTTTCTGTCCCCTTGCCATCAGAGTCGATAAACCTCGTTCCATAACTTCTAGTGTCTTCCCTTGGATTTCGAGAGACATTTCCAAAGACCGTAGTTTCCAGAGCATAACTGTAGATCTCGTGGGTGCTAAACAGATGCTGAATGACCGGATGACGTGGGTCAGTTTCTCTGTGTCGCTTCTGCTTCTCCGGCCTTCTCAGAAATAAGAACACATATCTAGAACTCCCAGATATCTCGACAAGAAAGATCTTAACACGTGTTTTAGACACCCGACAAATGTCACCTCACTAGTAAGTAAAGCCGGGAGTGAAAACCCTTGTCAGACACCTTTTGTGTGGAAACTTTTGGGTAGATGCACATTCACCCTCGCGGACTCACAAATATGTGAATGCAGAAAGCATACCTTAATCCCCATGACATCGGTAATACTGGCTTAGTGCCTGAAGAACGCTCATGGGACTAGGATTATGAAAAGGAACCTTGTCAACCCCAAATGGACAGTCTTCAAATGACGGTGTTGATGTGCTCATCATAGATTTCCCGCAGGTTGTTGGCGCAGCCGAATTCATATGGGCTTAAAGGCTTTCTAGTTGGACGGCAATTTTCCCCTGGTTCATATCGATGCAATGGAAAAACTAGGGCAATATCCGCTAACCGAAATTCGTGACAGCATGACTGAATTGGGTGGAGCGTAGAAAGCTGCGGATCTGAGATGTGGCCGTCGCCTGCACATCTAAGACTCGGTAACTAACTGTCAGTGCTCGTTCAGCTGTAACACCCTTTCGGTGCCTAACTGCCATGCGATCTAAAGGAATCACGAGGGCTGGGATACTGTTAGACTTCCCAAGTCTACACAGGAGAAGTCGAAACGCAGAGATCGGGTTCGAACCACGGACCTTCCGGTCAGTTCTTTCGCGCTCCAACCACTGAGCCATATCGTCCCCACTAATTGTCGCTGCCTAAGAATCATTGTATGGGTCTGGTGGGGACATCAGATCAGTGAAAAAATCGTTCTGCTGTAGTACCCTTTCGGTGCCCAACTGTCATGCAACCCGAAGGCTGCACGAGGGCTAGGATACTGTCAGGTTGCCTAAGCCTAGACAGGGGAAGTCGAGAGGCAGAGTCCGTTTCGAATCACGGACCTTCCGGTCAGTAAATCCGCGCTCTAACCACTTGGAGCATCTCGACTTCCATCAGATCAGTAATTATCAGCTGATTTTCTAGAAGGACCACCCTCCAGCTAGTCGCACTTGAGTTTATGCTGGTCAGCCCATCTGCTTCGTATGCCAGAGTACCGTTTGCCATGTAAAGCCTTCTTCACTCAGTCATGTATTGGATGAAGTCGGTCAGCTCACGATTTGGCAACGAAGCATAAAAGCCGCTACGTCATTTGTAACTGTCGTCTCCCCGATACATGACATCAAAACAACAGGCCCGGTCAGTGTGGGCGCATGATCTTCCAGTAGTTTCCTACCACCGATGAGGCCAGCTAGAAAATTCTTCTTTCCCAGATTCGAACGATTCTTTGCGACCATGTTTTGTGGGCAGCCACTCTCAGCATCAATTGTGCAGTGGGAGGGTTTTTACCTGAGAACGATACCCGAAATCTTGTCTAACTTCCTTATATGACAGTAAGAGAATGACCTGAATTTTGGCAGTGTAACTCAATAGTTTACTGACAGGCGTGAAACTACTTGAATCGTAAGCTCCGAATCTTGTTCGAAAACCTGACAACTGTGGCAACACCAGTGACTGAACTTCCCCCAAAAGGATCTTACACGCCATCTGTTTGGCCAGCGTTGTTTGTGGGAAGTGTCATTGTGTTTTTAAACTTATATAAGCAACAGTTACTGGAATAGTGTGCGCATCCAGTTGTCTGAAGTTGCTTGTGTCCTATTTTTTCGTGAGCCACCTGTTCGTTGCCGTGGCAAATAAACATGTCTTTCTTTTGTTGGTCTACATGCGACCGAGAATATACATTTGATGTGAACTTTGGAAAACGGTCCGTTGGTGAACTTTTAAACAATCAGTGAAACTGCGAGCGGTCATAGCCCTTGGGGGCTTGTTTGTACCTTCCTTGGGTACCCGGTCAAGGTGTGGTAGTGATGTAATGGGTTAAATCTTTGGAGCCACACTTATGTGTCCTACGGTTCGCATCTCCGTGAAACAGCTGTCCGTTCTCGATGATGTTAAGTTCACGATGTACTTAAAAAGCGAGCGGGCTGACGAGAATGTATTATATGTGGCCCAAACCTTCCTCCAGTGTTCTGAAAATCGGGAGGAAAAGCCCTCATTGATTTTGTTAGTTAGATGCTTTTGGTATACAGTGGCATCATTGTTCCACCCGCAGCTGGCCCTGCCAGCGCTCAATAAAAGACCGTCTTCCATTTCACCCAAACGACATTTCCGTTCACTTGAGTCCATCCTTTTAGCCGAATTTTCCCTGCTTCGCCGTACCTGATTGACTCTGTTTACTGAAGTGCCACACTTCTCTCCACAGATGTCCGAGGATGTTGTAGAAAATTTGAAAACAACCGTTGTGAAGCCCATTGTCTATGGTAATGTATCCAGGTACTTGGGCAAAAAACGAGAGGAGGACGGACGTACACATCAATGGACGGTTTTTCTACGCCCATATAATACGAACGAAGACTTGTCAGCTTTCATCAAACGTGTCCAGTTCAAACTTCACGAAAGCTACACCAACCCCATCCGTGTGGTCAATAAACCGCCCTTTGAGTTAACGGAAACTGGATGGGGCGAGTTCGACATTGTTATGAAGGTGATATTTACCGATCCAAATGAGAAACCGTTGGTTATTACACACCTCATAAAACTGTTTCACTGTGACCATGAGATTATGATGGGACACAAAAGCTTGGTACGTGAGATCTACGATGAAATGGTCTTTGTCGATCCGTCACCATCCTTTTATCGAGCTTTAGTCAGTCGGACTACCGCGCAGCCCGGCTCAGTTATGCCACACGAAACTGATTTCAAGGAGACGAAACGTCAATCCTTGCGGGCTATTCAAGACTTGAACAAAAAAGTGACCAATGCAATCCAAATATATCGTGAACAGTTGGCTGTGAAGAAGGATCTTATAGAAGAAGTTCGGGCGATGGTTAATGAGTTAGAGAATTCCACTACCGTCAATACTAATACCGCTGGTTAATTGAAGCAACACTTTCATAAAACCTGTACATATTTTCTTACACATAATAACAGAAGATTCCCCTTTAAGTCTTTATTTATCATAACCCAATATACCTATCGAGCCTAGTGCGCCAAGTTCTCATCTCGGGAGCCAAAACTCAGGATGTTTTCCAGTTACGGGCTCTCTGAATTTCGCGAAGCATTGGCTACACATTGTGTAAAGGTACTTCTCGTGTGCGGCTACTATCTCCAGTAGTCGCAATGAGTTATTTGGCAGGCATTTTACCGTAATCCACAAGGAAGAAGAATAGCCGGTCTCTCCGGGGGGGTTAGCCAGAAAACCAAAGGATAGTGTTCACTTTCAGTAACTTACTTCTGTAGCCCTCGACCAGTGATGTAAGTGCCATAAGTGTGTATAATAAGTTTTAGATTTGGCTTTTTGAAAGATCTACATTTATCCGAAACAATTTCGTTTTGATAGCCTTATAACCTTCCAGCGATTAATGTTGATTCTCACTATGAAGTGGTTGTTTGACGATAAATCTGTTAATATGGCTAGTAAACTGAGCGTGATTAACTCGATCGTTAGGTTTGTCCTGCAGTGCGGCTCACGCACAATGTCTTGCTACGATCCAAGAATGCCTTTTACGGTACAATACGGTAGCTCTCTTTTTTATTGTCCTATATAAGCCCGGAATCCTCGTTGCCTTTCCAGTGAACTTTGTTCAGGTTATCGTATTTTTTTGGATCATAAAACTGTCACGTATAATCGCTATAGGTCGCTCAACGTTCAACCCATCTCAGTAAAACAAATACTGACAAAAGCCCTTGATGAAGCGTTCAACATTCTCTCGCTAGTGATTAAATTTCGGCTCGCTGCAACTGACAACGATAGTTCAGTTGTGTAGATGTGAATTTGACGATCGGAAGGTCCGTGGTTCGAACCGAGCATGACATCAGTGTTCAACATCGGTGCTTCGCGCTGAACTCAGCCTCTGCGTTTTGACTGCTTTTATCTAGGCTTTGGCAACCTGACAGTATCTCAGCCCTCATACTTCCTTCAGGTGGCATGACGACCCTGCACCGAGAGATGTTGCGGATGGACCAAAGTGATGCACCAAGACGGGTCACAATGTAGTCCACAATAGCAATCACACCCGGTAATTATATGGATCAGGTTTGCCACTCTGATATCAGGCTGTTAGTGAGCGCATCGAATAGACGGGACGCCAACCTCATTCATGCTCCACCAAAAAGTCAAAAAATAGCCTGTGAGAAGGAACACAATTGTGGGATGTTTTTTTTAATATCGTTCATCTGATTTGATTGAAAATCCTCCTGGAGACCTTCGCCTTACTTTGAAACGAGGGGATACGGGACAACTCCGTGGAGTAATTTGGTTCATAGTTAGCTATTGGTGCTTATCGGTCGTTCATAAGTTCAGCAAGTAAACCAGGGACCTTAGGAGCTCCTGATAGCTACCACAGATCCAAAACAGTCTCACGAGACGCACTAAACCGCTTTTCCGAGAATAGGAAATAAGCCGAAAACCGAAGTTGTCACCAAATCCTCCGAAACCCTTTAGGAATACACCACACAGTCCAGCCAAGTAGTCGCACCTAATTATGGAGCTTTTTTAAATGTCATGAGGGTGGCCAGTTGACTAGAGTTCTAGAGACTTAGTTTGGATAGTCGGGAACCCGAGTGCACTGGTCGACACTGCACACAGCAATAATGAGGTACACAGCTGTTTACCGGATTCGCCCATAATGGGACAGCCAACCATGCTCCACAAGCCCATGATGATCCCACTGTGTAATTTACATACCACAAGACTGCTCCACAGGCTACCCAGCATCGAGCAGGATAAAAGTCATCTGACAGAAAATTATGAGCCTTGAATAGTATATTCACTCTCTTTGGTAACTGCATCATTGACAATAACATCAGAGGAGAACACCGGGGCTTCACCGCTATACAATCATTTCAGTCTATTTGAATAATCTAAGGAAAGAGATGGATGGAAGGGGCCTACCACAAATATCCAAGATGCCCACACCTGCTGCAGTCAGTCAGGCAATCTGGATGGCAACTGACAGCATAAACGCAACTAACACCCGTTAGTCGCCATATCATTCAGTATCTCCAGCAAAGCAAGAGGTCACATATGCCCAATCACGGAAGAAGAGCGGCACTCTAACTTTTCGTATGCCCTTCATTAACTTCCAACATTTCAAATTTTGTCTACCTCCATGTTTCCGTCGCCCCGGCTTAGGCACGGAAAACAGCCCTCGTTTCGGTAGGAGGTGACTTGGCGTGTGTAACACAGCCCAGCCAAACTAGTTTGCAGTCCTGAATACATCTTTGAAGTAAGTACCATATGATTCACCAACCTGTCTATTGATCAATACTGCGAGTTCTGTGGTTCCAGCTGACTCAAACTAGGGCTCTGAGAAGTCAGTGGTCATAAACCTGAACGTCCTAGGTGCTCCACTCGAAGTGCCCAATTATCGCAGTAGCACAGCACTACGGCCAGCACCGGTTACACTTCTGCCACAGTATATGCAACTTCCAAGATATGTGTAGTGTTCAAAACCCCCCAGTGTCACTCCTTACGTCCTCAGAGGCATGTTCAGAGACTGTATGTCCTGTACTATGGATTTACACTGTGGGCGCGAAACATACAGGAGAACCGAATGACTTGGGCCAGCTTCTCAAGCAATGTTTGCACTTCCCGCTTTTTTTTTCAAAAATGAGAACAATGTTGTCTGGATACTCCAGATAGACAAGGTTTTCGCTCAGACAGATCTGAACACCGGGGCTTTGGAGACCTGCTCATCAATAACGAAGACATTCTTGTCGGACAACACTGCTTGCAGTTTTGAATAGCTCTCCGTACACTTTTACGGGCCTACCAGTATGTGAATACGAAAACGAATGATGTTCACGAACTTCTAGGGCATACCCTGTTGTATAAATGTGTTGAGGAGCACTAACCGGTCGGCGGAATTGAACGCGCTCTTGAAGTCAGGGAGCACACAGCATTGTAGAGATTCTGTACGCATGTGGTTGCTCTAGCGAAGATGTCCACAACCAGCTAGAATATTGTTTACCTTTCTCGGATTCCGTCTTCATTTGCCTTCGTAAGACGACGTAAACTTCCCCTGTGATTGCTACACTAATAGTGAGCACCCTTTATGAAAACGGGAATTACTATGGACTCACTGCACTTATTTGGAACAGCCTGTCTCCCAGATAGGGGCAAGCACCTAATAAAGATTTCACCTCCATTTTTGAGTAGAGCAGGTGGATGTTTGTCAGGACCAGCGGCTTTTGAACGTCAAAAGGCATTCGCTTATTTCCGAAGCTGTCGGTGGTTCCGATTTCAGTGTCCAGGGCTACGTTGCCGGCTGGGAATCGGCTGAGCAATTGCAGGTAGCCAGTTGAATTGGTTTCTAAAGCGTCGAGTCGAACGACCCAAGTGCTCCTCTTTTTTACAGATAGGTGGGCCGCTGTTATCAGCTAATATTTCACTAACCGGAGGCCCGTTGCGCGTATCAGCCGGGATGGTTTACGCACAGTGCCAGAGCTTCTGCTCCATCGCTGTAGCTTTCTGGAATAACCAAGCTTCCCAATCCGCGTAGGTGTTCTCGCCTGAATCCTGACTTCGTCGAACGCTATTATACCGTCGAGCAGGAGAGACGTTGGAGTGTTGCTTAGTTGGTTGTGCCGTTTCACAAGCGGAGTGCCCAGGATTTCTCAGGGTTCCGAACAGTACATTTCATTACGAGGTAACATCAGAAGACGTTGCCCGAAAGGGACCTAGATAGGTGGTCTTGGTAGGCTTGCTTCGTACCGGGATCCGAGAGCTCTGTGGCCAAGCGAGGTTTGCGCGTCTTGCGCTCCCCTGAAAAGCGCAACGGGAAGCATCAAGGAAGCTCGGCCGAATGCACGTGGGTCCCAGAACGACCGACGGTCAATAATTGAACCACACAACCCATAGCTAATGGCGATGTGGTGTGTGCTGGAGATTGAATCTCATATGGGGGACACAACGCGTCCAAGAGTCTTCGGTTGTTACGAAAGTTAGTACTGCACAAAAACGTTCTGTGGTGAACACATAACCCTAGTATGCGTTCTCCGTTGTCAGTGCGTTTGATTCCAGTCTCAGACTACCAGCGAATTGAGCCTCCGCAGCGCAGTTAAATCCTCGACAACCGCAACAATACCTGAGCTATTAGCTCACCACAGAGCGCCGTAAACCCGTCTTTGAGTGCATGAGCTAGTTTTTTGGGGGGGAGGGGCGTGAGTAGATACAATGCGCAGGCGGTGATTATTGGCGCGCTCACGGGGGTACTCTCAGATATTGCCAGGCGAAACACACTGACGCAACCTTCGAAGAGCAAACATCCAAGCCACCCTTCAGCTCGGGGGCTTAAAACAATACCAATATCGGTAGCAGCGGCTTCCGGGTCATCAGAGATGCGCAACCGGAGACGAGTGGAGGTCCTTTCAACAACTATACTCGGGTTTCGACAGACAGCACATACCAATAGAAAGCGAATCCGGCGTACAAGCAGGATCAGTCTGCTGTCCAGCTTGCTTCAGAGTACGAGTGCCATTTGAACTGAATGCAAGGGGTTCCGAGAATAATCTCGAGGTGTCTGTGGTAGTGGCGGTCGGGTTAACTTAAAATATTGCGACTAGCGGTAAATGGGTCTATCGGATCTTAGGGACGGGCCCACAAAGATGTCGCTAGAAACTGAGCGAGGAGGGAACAGCGGCATGTGAAAGAAGAGCCTTAGTAGCCTTTTTCGCTTACCCGCACTGCTGTATGCAGCGAGTAAGACGACCCGACTGATAGCGCCACGGAGTCTTAGTGCCTTTTTCGCTTACCCGCACTGCTGTATGCAGCGAGTAAGACGACCCGACTGATAGCGCCACGCGACGGTCGATGTGGTATGAGACTATTTATAAGTGAACAATTCAGTGTTATACATGTGTTGGGACACTTCCAGGGCACCCAGACCCAGAACGGAGAACGATTAGGGTCCAAAACTTAGTGGGGAAGCAAGGATGACTTGTTTAAGAGCGTCATAGCGGTCTACATTTTTAGGGAGAAAGTCGCCACACATGTTCCAAAGAAGACTGTTAGTCGGACCTGTGCCCATTGACCGACGAGGTAAGAGAGGCTGAGTGACATACGTACACTCCCTAGTACAACTCGGTGGTTTAGGGAGGTGCGTAAATCGTCAAACTGGGGTAGGATCTAGTCTTTTCGTGACCGATGGCAACTATTATTCTTGATGGAATATTTGGGACATTTCACAGTTAGTACTAGTGATACGAACAAACATCGCGTACTTACGCAGTCAGTGGAGCTCTCACATCAGGACTATCACTTTTAATGTGAAATTGCCCTCCTAATGTGCCTCCTGGCTAAGGTGAACGAAACCTTATCGCCAAGAACCAGCGCAACGTTGTTGCGCAGTTGACAGACTGAACTGAACCGAATTCGTTTGGCTCGTTCGTGTTTCGGCTGCAGAACGACTAAACGGAAGTGTGTGCAAGCCAGGTTAGATTATAGTGTGCAAACCGGAGCCTGAGAGCCTATGGTCTCGGTTTCCCCTCTAACCCATCGGGGATCCACCTTTTGAGAACCGTCAATACCACAATTAGGATACAGCCATTCCCTTACTCTCCTTGGAGTTATAACAGACTTAAGTCGACCAATGAACTTGAAAAAATTGGAAACTCCATGTGATACCGCTAACTGCATTAGTCAGCCAAATTAAACTACTATTCCAGCCAGATACTGCAGCACCCATTTTGAATTAAATTTTTGTGCAAATGTGTGGAATTTCCTAGTGCGCGGATTTCCAGAAACGGTCTGTTGCATTATCTATAGCAAACATTCTTCAGCCCAGTGGACATTACCGGGATATCCAGAGAATATATACCAAGTAGAGAGCAACTATAAATACTAATACGATTTTCTTTTAACCATCAATTCCATGGCATCACAATGTAAGAGTAGCTGCATTCAGTTTTAATCTATAGTGAATTTCGACGTAACAATTGTCCAGTTGCAACACCATTTCGACGCCTAGCTGCTACACCACCTGAAGGAAGCTCGAGGGCTGAGATACTGCCACGTTGTCCAAGCTTAAACAAGAGCAGTCGAGATGTTGAGGTTGGGCTCGGACGACAAGCCATCTGGTCAGCAAGTTGGCTCCTTAACCACTGAGTTATCTCGACGTATAGAGCAACTTGATGATCACCACCACGCAAGTTGGTTATTTGGGGGGACCACGTTTGGCAACCAATGCCGAACGGATCTTGTAAAGCAAGCCTCAGTGTCCGTCAACCAGAGCAAACTGAATATATTTACAAGGAAAGAGTAGAAAGAGAATAGTTAGCGGCTCAAGCCGGAATTCGTGCCAGGGAAATAAAAGAGTATCACAATTGGCGGAAGGTCATAGTAACAAACCCAAGTTCGTTGCTATTCATCATCTTTGTGTTTTACAATACCCTTAGCGATCAAATCAGGAATTTCAACAGCTACCCACGGACCAAGTCCAAGAGCTATTGCATGTGCAATCCCAAATTTGGGCACGTTTCGACTCCAGAGAGGTTTGAAGTGCTCAGTGAGACAAATCTTTCCGCCTCTGTACATCTTTGCAGTTTTGCCGTCAAGCTCCGGTAAAGCCAGCTCAGGATTCGTGCTCGGGTAGGAGACAGGGATATCAAAACTCAGATCGAACTCATATTTCTTCATATCTTGAATGTACCTACGGAATAAATTACATGTAGCAAAACACAACATACCAACACTTGCCATACCACCTTGTTCCAGTGGAATTCGACTCGAGGCGAAACCAGTCGTTGTCAGCAGCCTTATTATTCTCAACGTACTTGATAAGGGCCAAATATTCTTCTTTCAGTCGCTGAACCCAAAGATCACCATCACGTGGGCCAGCCCGCGTTTTAAGAAGTGGAATGGCTGCTAATGTCTTTTTTGTTGCCTCGTCGACCATTGATTGAGGAGAAATGCAGATTCAAAGAGCGAGATGTACAAAAACACCTGTAAATGCATACATGGTCGGATTTAATCAGTGTGGAATATCTTAGTATCGTACAAGCTGACTGAAAATGTAACCTCGAAGGCAGAGTGGGCTCATTCACAGCTTCGAGACCAACTCAGAAATACTCCGCTCAAATAGAATTGCAGTTTGAAAACCCGGCATTTCACTCAGTTGACTATCCCCCAAGGCTTTCAAGAATTGGGACAGTGTCAACAGCATGATATCAGCGTCCCACTCTTGAATCAACGTTGTAACTATGTCTCATTAAAATTAATTTGGCATGCCGTCCACTGCTGGACCATATCACATTTTAACTACACCACTGGTACTATCGTCCCTTATGATCATTGCATACGATACCGATGCACTACCAATTCATTCCTCTCGTGAAAAATCTCTCAGCAGTGGATGGTCCTACAGAGCTTGAACCAACGGCTCCAGAGGAGAGCCTTCGAACTGGATAGGAAATATGGAGGATATCTTTTTGAGATTTTATCTTGTGCAGGTAAAGTGACATCGAGTCTGTCCCACGCGTTTTCAAACTTTACCCATAAAACTTTAATTTCATGGGCGATTGAGGATCAGTACACAAATCAGAAAGTGAACCGGGTTAGCGTGTGATGCTGAAAAACAGCTTACGGACAAAGGGACCTTTGTTGTATCAGTAAGATCACCACTAACATCACCTAGTCGTCTTATTTTGTAATGTATACACTAGAGCGTACAGATGGCTAGTCCGTTTTGGAGGGCCGGTTAAACCAACACCCAAACTTGTCGATAGTACATTCACATGTGCCTGTAAATGGCTTACGTCACTCTGAAGGCATGAACAATAGCTATAGGTTCGGTATATCATGAATCTACGTGAATCGTGTACGACCAACCCATCTTTTCAAAATGATCCTTTTTGCTGCACACATATCGTTTGCTGTTTTGGCACAGCCTCTTCAACACAATCCTCATTATCAGCAGCAACACAACGTTTCTCAAATGCCATACAACCATGAACATCATAAAGTAAAGAAAAAGAACGGGAGAAGGGTGGAGAAACAATTAGGAACAAGATACCTACAGCTTCAGGCAACCCAATAAAACATCTGAGCGTCTTTTAATGGTGAGGTTAGCAAAGGGAACTTGGGTCAATTACACCAATGGTATTATATTCTGACACGGTAAGACGCCATCAGCAACATTGAACCAACATTTCAAGACGTAAACAATGCGTCTCCCACACGACCGAGATTGTCTGATGTTTTCAAAACTGCATCTCATATAGCGGAGTCACATACTATACCATCATCAGCATAACATCAGTGATGAACACTGATACTTCGCTGCCGTACAACCATGACTTACTTGGAGGCCTTATTGGGAGGACAAGAATAAAGGTGGAAAGGGAAGTGCTAGCTTACTACGATCATCCTGGGATGCCTACACCTCCAGACACTGATCTAGGCAATGTGGATAGAAACAAGGATGCCACTGACGTCGATTAGCAGCCATAACTTGCGTCTCCAACCAGGGACACTTAAGATCACGCGGTCCCCATCTTGGATGGCGGATAGCACTGAATGCAGTATTATGGAACCTTATCCATACTCCCAATAACTGGGACGGTCACTGGGTTTTTTCTTCTAAAAATGTCGCGGTGACTGGGAGGTGCTGGTTATCCGAGACGCAGTATTGTTCTCAGTCAAGTTCAAACAGTTCGGTCAAGGAGATAGGCAGGGACTCGTAACCAACCTTGGAAGCTCATCTGGCCTAAAAGTCCGGTGGAGCTTCAAGGTTTAATAGTGCTTAATAAACTGACATAGGACGACACAACCTGATTCTATTTGATCGGATTGAACAAAAGTTATAGGCAAAAGTGCAGGGACCGAATAAGTCGTCATTGGAACTATACTGACGGCCATCTGTACGCTGACTTTCGTCGTATATACGCCCATTAGCTTTGATGGACTTACTGATTGACGATCTCTTGGGTTCAGTTTTGCGGATTAGTTGAAGCAGCTTCGTGCACTCCTGAATTTACTGGCTTGTCCCACTTCTTCGGGATGGACGACCCCTCCATGACAATACGGAATGCTTCGTTTGATCTGACAACAACAATCATTCCGAGGTGTCTACACATCCAAACACTCATTCAAGTAATCTGGATATAAACAGACAACAAGGGCGCCATCGACATCGATTAGCAGCCATATTTTACGGTGTCTCCAGCCGGCCGCAGAGGGGATAACGCGGTCCCCATCATGGAAGACGACTACCACCGACAAAACTCAAACGTTCCGAAATCTCTCTCATTCGACTTTGTCGGGCCAAGTGTTGGCCACCAGTCCGCGTCCACCACTCTGAATTGGGTACGAAAAAGCGGCTTGTTGACCTGCTTGCTTCAGAGTGCGGGTATTGAAGGCAGCCAAATACACTGCGCGTCTAGGCTTGAAGACTGATTTCAAGATCCTTGAGGAAGTCGAGGGCGGATGACGCGCAGATTTTGCTCGCAAAGCCGATACAGTGTTGGGTCTACACGGATGGGGTGGAGAGAGGGGAAGAAAAAGTATGTGAAAGAGTTAAAGGGGGTGTCAGCAGTAGGGTGTTTTCGCTTATTCGCCCTGCTGCCGAGTAAGGCGACCCGGCTGATGGCACCATGCGACGGCCGATGTGACTTGAGTTTATTTGTGTGTGTGATTCATGACTGTACGTGGGCTGCGATACTGCCAGATGGCCCACATCTAGGACGACCATTAGGGGCTTCAACCAAAGCCTTTGGCTCAAAAGCTTGACCGCAGCGGTGTTTAGCAGCGAATGCAAGTACATAGCCATTTTTACAGAACACGCCGCCACACACGTCCCGAACCCCAACCTGAAGGACCGGGCAAATGTGTTCGTCAGACCTCTAACCATTGACCAACCTGATATGACAGGCTCTGCAAGGGTCGCGCGAACATCCCACAGTATAGCTCAATGGGTCACCGAGGTACACGAACCGTCACACCACGGTAAGGTCCCATGTCTTCGTGAGGGCTGGCAACAAGAAGGGTCGCGCATCCCACAGTATAGCTCAATGGGTCACCGAGGTACACGAACCGTCACACCACGGTAAGGTCCCATGTCTTCGTGAGGGCTGGCAACAAGTAGTATGTGCTGAACTACCATGGTGAGTTTCCTTATGAAGAGCTTACTTACCGCATCACCCTTGAACGTTACGCAAAGATACTGTTGTGACTACCGTCGTCCATCGTAGTTCGTCTCATATTTCGCTGCAAAGCCTGTCTGGACAGGCATCATCCCGTAAACTATCAAGAATGAAGGCAAGTTCACTTAACAGTTCGCACGAATGCCCGTCGCCCGATCACAAAGATAATGCATCAGGTTTGTTTACGCTCATGGCTAAATGGATGTGTTGACCAACCTAAGTGCTTCGATGCATGAGGAAAATGAAATTAACGCGAAGAGCGGAACGGGACTATTTGTCACCTGAGAAACTAGTCAATAAGTGTGAACACGCGATGTGGATAGTATAGAAAGATGAGAAAACCTGTCAAACTGTAGCGCCCTTTCGGTCTCTAAATGCCATATCATCGGGAGAAAGCATGAGGGCTGGGACATTTTCAATTGGAACAGGGAAGTCAAGAGGCACAAGTCGGGTCCGAATCACAAACCTCCGGGTCAGTAAAATCGCGCTGTAACCGCTGAACCATGTCGCCATCTGCAGCATGGCCCGCATATCCTAAGATACGGTGGAGTGTGTTAACAATGGACAGAAACATTATGCTTGCAGCCGCTCAGAGTCGGCGACTTGCGGTCTGGACTGGGCAGCTGATGTATCAAGGCCATAGGGGCCTTATGTCAGGATGGTACACAAACTGGTGCCGAGCTTGCTCCGCTTGCGGTCCGGGTGCCCACGAAATGCAGAACGCCACCAGTACAGTTTCATCGACGGTAAGGACAATTATGCCTAAGCCGAGTACCTCTTCAAATGGATTGTTGTCAAGCAAGATGGTTTAATTTGGTACAATGTCCTTTAGGTTCACAGGATGTATCCTCGGACGAACGCGACGTAACTAGCCAGATGATGGAGTACTTCCCCGGCCGTCAGTGTCGTTCCTTTGCGGAATTCGAGTCAAAGCTGCGAGAATTCCAGCAGGGAGCGGGCACGTATTATGCCTGCCGGCATAGTTTATCGGCGGCTACGTATGAACAGAATGTCGGTAAAGTGCTTCCACCATCCGTCGGTTACTCGTTTATGGTGTACAAATGTGTACATGCGCGTTTTCACTGGAATGCGAATCAAAAGGGTCGTCGGTATGTTGATATATTTGTGCACAATCATCCAAACAACTTATATTTAGGTATGCTGATTTCGACTGCCGATCGTTCATGAGTGTCATTCACCGTGAAGGTCGTCTTGTAATAGTTAGTTTTAATATGCAACACTTGCATGACCTGCATATGTATGATTGGCAAGCGTATGCTTCGAACCGACGTTTGAATGCCCAGCAGGAGCGCGTTGTGTTTGGATTGTTGCGGTGTTTTAAGTCATCCATGGAAATCCGATACTATGTCCGGAAAAACTACGGAATAGACTTGACCGGTGATGATGTGCGGGTCCTGCGCGACAAACTGCACCGCTTGGACTATCCTGTATGTGATCTGCAGGGTATCCCATTTGGACCCATGGCTGTGTCTGTTCGTGATGACGGTAGTTTGAATGTTCTTTCTTTTACTCCCGTCCGTCGGCGCGGTTTGTTTGCAAAGTATGGTGACGTAATTCAGGCAGATTCAACATACCAGTGTAACGGAGATGGTTACCACATGTGGCATGTGGTAATCACCGATTGTAATGGTGTTGGTCGCAGTGTGTTTTACTCCTTTATCCACAATGAGTCACAGGAATGTGGCTGTTGAACACTTTATGCGAACGATGTCTCCCGTGAATGTTGTCCGAACGA